TTATATCATACCCCTGTCGAAGCCAGCAGCAATATACGTCTACATTGCTCAGGTTGACCGGCCACAAAAAATACTCTTCTCCGTTCAAGATTCGAAGCAAAGTTCAATGCAGAGAGGTTCTGCGTGAATCTCCGATGAAGACTTTCTTCAGTTTGTCTCCGTGCTGTCGGCTAGAACCATTTGGCTAAGTTTAAGTAGCATCTCTCTGCCCGCCAAATATACTTTTATTCAGCAGTTCACCTAATAGATAGTCGACTGAGCTCATATTTTAAGCCGAAGAATGTACTAATATCGCTTTAGTGGGACATAGCACGTAATATAATACATAACCCGCTCGTCAAAATGACTTCTCGATTGCTACTCAGCAAAACCTGAATTGAGATACAAGTATCAGCTGCTTAGTGGGGCGCCGGCGGGTTAACATGGTCCTTGGCTCAAGAAGCGCTTGCTTAATTTTCGTAATTTTCCTGCAGCCTTTGTTGTTGGCCGAGTAGACGACTGGAGCCGTCTCTTAAACGTGGATGCGCACAAAAGCTCGATTTCGCGGGCAGATAAGTCGCATGGTCGAGGCATGCGAGTTAGCTGAAAATTACTCTCGGTGGAACAATTTTGTAGTCATCGCCGCTTTCCTTAGATGATCAAGACTAATTAGTATATTACCGTCTCTCCGTAGCCTATAGTTTCGGTTTTGAACGAAATCTCCGAGACAAAAGTTTGACATGAAAAGAACAAAAACCACCGGAAAAACAAAACTATGCTTTGGAAGTTTATGTGCACCGGCTAAACTTAACCGTCTCAGTTCAAATACCTATAAAATTGGGTATTAAAAAAAAAATAATAATACCGTTAAATTGAACGCGCCACCTGTTCAGGCGGCCCGGCCAAGCCGACGCGACCTGGACTCAGCCGCCATGTTTGTTTGGTGGTGGCGCCCCCTGTAGGTCGCTGGAGTCGCGAATAGTATTTACAATCGTTGAATATTACGGTTTTCTTTTTTTTTTTTTTTTTTTTTTTGCTTAGACGTAAACGGGTTTTATGAAATATACAAGTGGTGGAATGTGCTCATCCGATGCATCATTTCAGGTAATAATTAAGCTTATCACTACTTCCCCGTAGTTTTGCATAAAAAACAATACATATACAGTTTTTTATTTCTCGTTTGTCGCAAACAAAACGGGAAAAAAAAATTTAACCTGGATTTTATGCACTTTACATTCGGTGACAAGGCTCACACTGGATGGATGAATTTTTACACAACGAGAGTTCGGCAATGCGGCAATGCGACAGCAGTTTCCGTATAATAGGAAGTTTTCGTAGATCGTTTCCGCCGTCCAGCAACACTTTCCGCAACCCGCGACGAGATCAGAGCTCTTCAGTCGAGGCTAGTGGCGCGCAGGCGCAGTAGCCGATCGCCATCCTTGTTAACAGAGTGCGTCGTCTACTCGCTGCGTTTATCGGGAGATGGTGCCACATGTGGGCTACAGGGATGGAACGGCTGCGCCATTTGCGCCATTTTGTGCCCTACGCATTTGTCTGCGCCATTCTGCGCCATGTTGCGGAAACTGCGCCACAGCCAATACCTTGCGCCATTATGCACCAAATCGCAAAACGTGCGCCAAAAAAAGTGTTTTGTCTTGGTTTCGGTTTCTATCGACTCGATTGGCAACAATGAGCGCGTTTAGCTTGGTCGGCCTAGCAATACTTTGCTCTCTTTATTCTCCCTGTGTATCCCGAGTCTTGAAGCGCGCGAAAGAAATCGGAGGTCTGATCTCAACCACTACACCACCTGCTACTAGATTGTTATTCTTCAACCATGAGCGGTTAAGCAAGCCGAGGGGAGATCGAGTCGTTAAGCGTCTGATTGTTTTGGGCTCTGCGGCCCGGGGTCCGGACGTCAGCCAGATGAAAACAACTGAGCAAAATATTCCTTTCAGTACTTCATCGTTAGAACTTGGAACCGCATTCCCGCAAGATAAATCGTGATTTGATAACTTCCGAAACGACGGTCCGATCCGAAATCTTGCCGGCCAGCAGCTCTCACGCGAGCGTTAGATCTGCTCGGCGTACTTTAACCATGCTCCAGCTTATCGCTTCGAATATGATAACTCCGTTAATCGTAGTCTGCTGCTTCGATATTGAGTTGCACGATAGGATAAACTCAAAATTTGTTTCCCTGTTCCTTCGCGCAACTGCACGTCCGTTGCTTAAGCACGTCACGTGGTTCGCACGTGTAATTACTATGTCGCGCACGTGTGGGTTTTGCGATAAGCAGTGCTGGTTTGGATTTTGAACAGCTGAAAGCCACTCAGTAAATATCAAGGACGCTATCTTCAGAAGCATGTGGTTATTGCCTTTTGGTTATCATTAAGGCTCACAAAGTTTCAAGTTTTCGCATCCGTTACAATGGTATCCCATCTAACGAAGTTCCTAACCACTCGTGTTCATATGTGCTGCTAAGCACAATTGAAATTGCTTCCGTGCTTGTGTGAAACACAAGCTGAAATGCAATGAAAACTAATCTGAGCTGCTCCTAGCGTGCTCCAAAATGTAGTTTTAGCTGTTTCGACCTGCTCCAAAACAGCTGTTTTAGCTGCTCCCAACCTGCTCCAAAACAGCTGTTTCAGCTGCTCCCATGGCTGCTCTCAAGTACGTTTCACGAGTTCCACCCCTGTAATAGCGTCGCGAACTCGATTGTCTGCGAACGCGTTCTACGTTGACTTTTGCAAGTTTGTTGCTCCCATTTTTTACAGGAAGACAACAACGCCTTGAAATTTCACACAATAAAACTGACCCGCTCAGTGCACACTCGGCGAGAGTTCGAGCTTACTGCATGAAGGCGCCGCTTTTTCCGGCTCGTTTTACAGCGTCGGAAATCCCTTCATGCCACCCTATATTTATTGGCTGCTCCAGTTCGTTTAGAGCCCGATTTCCAAAGAACTAACTGGTCTTTGCCGTTGTGACGCTGCTCTCAGCATACGGACATGTGTGATACCATGGTGAGTGACACGGGGGCGCAAATGCCATGGGACCTCTTTCGGCCTCTGGGAGAAGCGACGCGATCACCACATCTCCCTTTCCAGCGCTCCATAGCGCGATCAGACATGAGCAACTTGCGCTTGTAGCTTTGGCAGTTCTTCACTCATCTGCGCGTTCGGCCAACGAACCCCACTTCGTTCTATTCAGCTCTCCAAATCTTTTTGTAGCGCTTACTTTGGCTTCTCATCCATCGATTTGCATTTTTCTTTTTTGGTCGACGTTCACACCATCGTCGATCTAACCAGGGAGGGAGCGCTGAAAGGGGAGCGAGAAGCGCGGAACATTCGTCTTGACGCGCGAAACTGCACGAACCGTTGCGCGCTTTGAGGGGGGGGGGGGGGGGGGGGGGGGGGGGGGGGGCGTCGTTTCGTGTTTTGCCAAAGTTGTGCACAAGATCGGCGATTTCTCTTCCTTTTTTGTATGCATTTTTGGCGGATGACTAGTTGTGTGCGTATAGGCATGTATATACCTGTAAAAGGGGTCCCCCCTTTCCCCCTTTTCGAGCTTAAATCGGAGATTGCAAACAAATTTTGCCGGGCTTTTTTTTTTTTTTTTTTTGGTTTGTGTGTTTGTGACACGTTTGGTTTTTACTGCGAACGCTGGAATTCGGAAGCAATGACGCTGATCTCTCTTCTCTCGCGTTTCTATTTCATTTCTGTGGAAGTTTGTTGGTTATTGTAGCCAGTCTTCCGCATACCATTTTTCTTATTTCTACTTCTTATCATATTTTCCCCTCCTTTCTCTCGCTCAATGCACGTTTCACTCGGATGCGTTACTCTGTCCAACTACGATGTCGTAAAATAACGCGGCGTTTTAAATGAAAAGTTCCGCAGGAATTACATTCTTTTTTTTTTCGTCAGTGTTCGGTGCCTGTCTACACTTTCCAGCTCTCTCGATGGCAGCCATGTTGCGTCACGCAGGCTTTCCAACGGAAGGGGAGCTTTTCGCCTGCTGCTTTCGTTTCTCGATTCGTATCTCCCAACGCATTGGGCATTTTGATCACCCTTCAGTGACTGACTCAATCGTCAGCTCTTGGTTTCCACGCAAAACTGGTTTGAGGCGCAATTGAACCGGAGGAATTGCGTAAGTCATTCTGGATTGCGGTGTAATGGAGCGATCACATCGTGTCAGGGCTGGAATTTTATGAGAGAAGACTTGAGAAATTTGATGGGGTTCTGGAAATAGACAGTGAACAGGTCGCGGACCGTCCAAGCGCGTAGCGCGCAAGCCGCGTCGTTCATGGGCCTCAAAGAAGCTTTCTTTCGGGACACGCAATATGCCGATGAAATGAATTTGCTGCACAAGGTAATGAACCATAAACTACAAAATATTTTTTTTTTTTTCCCCGGGGAGCGGGGTGTTAGGATTTATTAAAAGTTGCCTATAGTGCGTGGGGTGGATATATATGACAGGTTATGTTTCAAACTCCCGCCTCGTCTAATGGTGTCTCCGGCGTGTAGAAAACGCGGTGCCACTTGACTGTTACTTTGGAAACAAATGTCCATCGTCCAACTCTCGGTGAGAGATAGAATCAGATAGGAGTCCTTTCTCGCTACTCGTTCAAGTTTCAAGATTGCTGCGATAACCAAGTTCTGAAAATATCTCCCCGGCTGAGTCCGACGTCCAAAGGAACAAGTTCGGTTCTCAAAACTGGTCGCGAGGGTATCTTATCTAGAAAAAAATGCGACGAATGCGGTTTCTGTTTAGTCCTGCGAGGAGGCGCTCAGCCGCTCAGCGATTGATATTGCCCTAAGATTTAAAAAAACAAAAAAAAAAAAAAAAAAACAAGCGCAGCCGGCATTACGGGCTCGACGCACGAACAACTCGCCAGCGTTCCTCCTCTTTCCCCATCCCTTCGCACCGCCGCCGACGCCGGAAGTGCACGTGACTCCGGTGTGACGTCGCGGCGGAGTGGGCGGGCTCCTCACCGGAAGTCACGTGGACTTTCCGTGACGTAATCGTTGTGGTCGCCTCCTTCTCCCATCCAACGTTTCCCAGCGGAACGGACGGAACGTTTGCCCGCTCGACGCGTTCGCCTCGAGTGCCGTTCGCCCGTGCCGCTGGGTCGTCCTGCTTCTGCCGCGTCGCCTCGCCGCAATGTGGGCCCCGTGCGCGCTGCTGCGGGTCTGAAGTCGTGCGAAGAAGGAACGGCCATCACGCGAGTGTTCGGTATCGCGTTCGTCGGAGTGGTGACATTCGTCGGCCGAAGGATTACGCGCGATCGACGACAAAATTGGGCCACGCAGAACAGGATGCGGAGAATCAGCGCGCCTTCGCGGGATCCGGGTAGGTCCCGCCGAGGATCGGCCCGTGCTGGCCTGTTCCCAATTTCACGTGTTGGCAGGCAGTATGCCTGCTGACCCGACTAACAGCGAGTGCTTGTTTTCGTTCATTTTTTACGCCAGCCTTTGCGCTGATTGCGCTTCGGTTCGTGCCTGTTACCGCGCTGGAAAAACCCCAAACTCGGCGAGGAATCTCGGCCAAGACGAAGGGACTTCAGGGGGCTTCTCTCTAAACTCAGTATCTACTCAGTCGTAAATTTCTCCCAGTATACCGGCTTTTTTTCTTTTCTTTTTTTAGGTTTTGGTTAGAAACATCGTAATAAACGTTCTGAATAGAACCCCTTACAGTACGCATTTTTTTTTCGTATTACCTTTGCCCGGCCCATGACGCCCCTTCGTTGATTCTTCTGATTTCTACTCTGCGGTTTCCTTGTTCGCGCGGTTCTGTGCGGAGCAAGCGCATCTCCTGAGATTAACAATGACGAAAATAAACTCGGAAGGACGAGAATAGCTCGCCTTATGGCTCCCTCAGCATTATAAGGTAGCGTCCACGTCGGGAAATGATCCTAGTAGACTGGTAGGAAACTATCAACCAGGTGTTCCGTAATCGCTCGGGATAAAAGACTATTCGCAGTCGTACACCCGATATCGCATACAGGCGCCGCACCCAGCTCACGCCAGCTTCGTCCGTTCTGTCCTGGACGATTTAGAAGGAAACTGAGTAGGGGGTGTGCGAATATCGCTTCGACTCGAATAGTGTAGCGTCATTCCTAATTTTCGATACTCTAAGCTAGCTCGTATGTCGTGGCTTTCCCTTGTGCCATGAGGGCTATTATTAATCATGCAGCACTATTCGGTTCGAACCGTTATTCACACACCCATAAAACAAAACGAATTTTCGCTCAGCTTCATCTTCACTCATAAAGGTTCATTTTCTTCTACGTGACAGCCGCTTCTTAAATCGCGATGACGCGACAGTTTACGTTCTCGTCTTTCCTCCCTATTAATGTACCCAAAAGAAGTGCTGCGGACTACCTCAGGTTTCGGGAAATCACCAAGTTCAAGAAGTGTTGGAAAACTGGGGGAATTGATACTGGTTCAATATGAAAATAAAGGCGCAAGGAAATAAAAAAACGGATTAAAGAAACAGGTAAACGACAGACGAGAGCTCGTCTGTCGTACGTACTACCCTCCTTTCTTAGATCTCTGTTGAGCGCTCTGGTTTATAACGCCGAGTTCCATCGGTTCTCAGAGTCGCGCGATGGGTTCCATCGCGATCTCGGATAAGTTATTCGCCGTTCTGAAAGGTTACGTGTCTACCTGGAACGCCGTTTAGGGCGACCTGTTGTCTGTGTCGGCCGCCATCGAATCTGGCGAAACCGGTTTGCGGAACCCTTGTTTTTATTTTCCCCACGCTCTCTCTGTGTGTGTATGATTGCCTGGCTGGCCGCTCCGGCGGCAGCGCTCTTTGCGAGGCCACCGTTTCCGCAGCACCCGCGAGAGAACGCTAGAGTTTGTTGTTCCAGCCGCCCGGGGGATCACGTTCGAAGTCAATGGCCGATGAGGTTCGATTAGGCGTGAACGGTAAATAGGAATCCGAAAATAGTTTCGCTCTACCGAGCGGGAGGATGTTGTAGAGAGGGAAAATGACGAAATCAGTCCAACTAAATCTGTCGCCTGAGAACCTGATGTTCACGATGCAAGAGTGCAAACACAGGCAACCTGTGGGGCTTTATACTCTGTTTCATACTTAGTGTGCAACGCTGTCAAAGCTACTGGCGCGAGCGCGTGGCTTCATCTGAGGTATTTGTTTGCGCGACAATGCGTGCAAATAATCAACGAGATCAAGCCCTACGCTCGCGCCAGTAGCTTTGACAGCGTTGCACACTAAGTATGAAAGCGCGGAGCGCGCCGGTTTGGACTTGGGCGACAAAAGCCCTGCGTCATTGTCATGCAAGTCTGATCGGCGCGCTCCGGGAACTTTGTGTTCGACGAGTCTATAGTACTCCGTTTCATCTTATGTTGTACCGCAGCGAAGGCTAGACGCGCGAGATCATAGCTTTGTCTTGTGCCGCCGAGATATGCCCCAGTGCAAGGAGCTCGCGCTGGTAGCCTTTCCTGCGGTACATCATAAGGTGAAACAGAGTATAGTGCGCCTGGTGAATGGCTCTGATACTTCGACTCAAGGTAAAATAACCATACACACATTTTCACAGTTGCGCTGCTTTCGGCGCGTACTCCCGCCGGCATTGGAATGTGAACACCTTACCTGGTTTCTTGCCTGTTTTACGGTTTCCTAAAGCTATATTAACTGTCAACGTCTCAAATAATACGTGGCTTGGGGGTCCAACCTTTGCGTTCTAGCCCTCTTCTGGAATAGAGCTTGTTCCAAAACTTGCAGGAGCGTCAAAAACAAGAAGAGGGCTGTTCACCTTCATATCGCTCACGAAAGTACCTCAGGAAGCTTCATGACCTCGCTTGGTGTCTCCTCTTAGTAAACAAATATGGTATTACCAAATAGAGCCCGACGTGAATGGCAAACAGTAACGCTCACTACATCCATAATATCTATCCAGTGGCTAGCACATGGAACGCTCGTGCAAGTAATCATCCCCCTTGCCCTTTTCATGCTAGGACACGAATATTACTCGAGGTCGTTCGTTTCAAAGCGAGTAACCGCCAAATAATATATCATCGCACATCGCACAGTTTCGCACTCTTGGAAGTCCTGATAGCTTATCTAAAGTTTCGGCTTTGTGCTCGGGACGGCGCCTGCCGTGGGTTGGCGGTTTCCTCCAGGCAAGGAAATGAAGTGGCAAGTCCGGATGCCGCCATTTATCTGCATTTATGACGCTAATAAATTGGAAATGAGTGTGCCTAACATTTTGGGATGTCTTCTTTTTTTTTTCTTCTTCTTTTTTGGTCGGGTCAAGGGGGCATGATATAGCGGTATGCGTAGCGTAAGTTCGTCTGCTTTCAGCGCAGGGGTTGCGATGATGTCCAGAACGCCGAACTCTTATTGGCTGACCCACTATCTTTTCCATCAAAGCCAATCAGAACTCGGCGTTGTTTTGACGTCACTGCAAGCCCTGCGCGAGAAGCAGAGACACCCTCTCCTCATAATCGTTAGGATAAGTTGGTTAATTAACGAATAGTGGTTAATTAACGCTTTAATGATTGAAATTAGAGATATGGTTCCAACCAGGAACTCACCGAGCGTCATCGAAACCCACGAAATCATTGAGTTTTTAAGAAGATTTGTGGCGCGCGGGAAGGATGGTGGTACGCTAAAGTTACCGCTTGTGCAAAGGGGCGCAAGACTAGGGGCGCCAAAACGCTTCCGCGCGCTCTTTCCGTCTCTTATCATCCGCGCTTTCGCACCCGGCCAGCATTGCGCCCGTTGCACAGGTGATACCTCCAGCACACCGCCGGGCTTACCACGCGCTCCAAATATTTCTAAGATCATCTTGTTTAGTGGTTTTTAGTGACGCTCAGCAAGGTTTTGATTGGAGCGATGCTTCTATCCTTGATAATTAAAAGAAAGTTAATCAACAAATATTAGCTAGTAAATCGACTTATCGTCACAAGTATCCCTCTTTATGTCCCCCTGGCCGTATAGCTCAACTGCACAAACCGTCTTAATGTAGCTTTCGCAATTTCTTTATTTTTATTTTTAAAAAATTGTATAGTTAAAAGAGTTATCCTGATAAAAGAAAAAAAGGAAACACTTTGAGCGGTGCAGCGAGACGTCGTTTTGCGAACTGCGACACTGGGAAAGCACGAGAAAAGATCGCGCAAAAAAAAAAAAAAAAAAAACAACGAGACTTTCTTTTTCTCTATTTCTCTCTCTCTTACACCCCGCTAACACGTTTAATGTCAAACTTTTTTTTTTCTTTCTTTTTGCGACAGAGAGCGTGTACCGTAGGTCATTGGCCAAAAGTCAAATTTGGGGGTTTTACGCGCCAAACCAACGACGGGCATCTGGCACGCCCCAGCGGAGGACTGAGGATTAATTTGGACCACTAGGGGATCTTTTAACGTGCAACCGAAAGCTCGGTTACACGGCGCCTCCTCCGCAATAAGCCTCCGTCAGATTTCGGGTACCTCGGCCGGGTTTCGAACCCGCCACATGGGGATCCGTAGGCCAGCGCTCTCGCCTCGGAGTTACCGAGGCGGCTCGTAGGTCATTGGTCATAGCACTCTACTGATCTTCTGACCTAAAGTCGTGTGACGCGCGATCCCTAGTTTTTTGCCGTGTTTCCTTCGCCGATATAAACAGTGTCACCTCACTAGGCAACAACGGCCTAGTGAGGTGACAGCGTTTCGCGTCACGACTTTAGGTCTGAAGATCGGTAGAGTGGTATATGCATACGGCGGATACTGAAAAAAGGTTCACGATCTGATTCTCAACTGTATGGATTCCCTCGGGGACTACTGTCCCACGCATTAAAGCCGCGGTCCCCATGCTACCACGTTATACCAAAGACATTCTGCAAACACTGTCTGAAGCAAACATATGTATGTGAATGAAACAAACATATACTTCGCACAATAGGGGTCCGATTCGCGAGTTACGAGAGCCGAGGACCCGCCCTTCAGAGTTTCCCATATGAAAGATGCGAGTTCGTCTCTTACGAGCGATAAACAAGCGCGTTTTTTCCTGAGACGGCAAGCAAGCTCGTGGCATGCAGAGCCGAAATGAGCCGTGGAGTGCCACGCAATAATTGACCGACGACTCTACGCGTAACTTGTTCTGTCTCGCGATAGAGCCAAGGACGTGGCGGCGGGCCGCACAGACGCGCGAGCAGTCGGCCCAAGTGGCCGCCGCGGGGGGACATCTCGTCGGTGAAAAGATCGCTGCACGCGACGGGGCGTCATTTTACGACGCCCCCTCTGTCAAACGCGCCTTCACCTCGGGAACGAAATCCGGAATCCCCCCCGAGACTAGTGTGGCGACGACCAGAAGGGTCTTGTCCATTGGTCCTACAAAAACAGCCCACAGAC